CTTGATAGGATAATATTCCCATGGAATAATCTGATGGCGTAGTCTGGTGCCACCGGCCCATTCAGTGGTATACTGCTCCTGCTGTCTATGATTCTACAATGCAGGAGCTGGCTGGGGTGGAATTGTGCAGTGGATTGGATTGAAGGAGCCACAGTCCGAGCAACTCTGAGCCACAGCCTGAGCAAACCTTATTTTCACCTTACCCAGTCATGAGACGCTGTGGTAAATTAGTGTCACAACAGCTCTGTCGTGCACATCGATTGCATTTCTAAGAGCTCTCTGTTTTTTAAACCGTCAGGACAAAAGTAAAAAACATGTCTCTTTGCTGTGGGGCTGATTGCAACCCATGCAGATATAAGGGAAATCGTTCTTGCACTTGATTAAGAAAAACAAACAAATAGCATCGATGAGGTGTGTTTCTGTCCATTCTGGTTCCATTTTAATTGCTATTCTCACACTTCAGTCTCTGACCATAAAACTTGAATACAACTGATCTTAGGCTTAAAAGGTGAAAATGTTTGAGTTTTGTAAGGTCGATTTGGTCCATGTTGCTCAACTGGTTGTTGGCAGCTCATTAATTTGGGGACCTCATTCAACCAGTTCTTGAACAATTCCATGGAATCAACTTCAACAAAATGGCTGGGTAGTTTGTACCATACACCCACCTCCCTTTGTGTAAACAAGTGACTCTTGTGGTCCTTGTGCTTTCCTCTTACTTCTCTCATGTGTCCCCTGGTTCACCCCCCAAGAGGTTCTTCGGGTTGGCTCGGTCAGCTGAGCGATTTTGAAGTATTTGATTATATAGTTTCTTTTATTACTTTTTTTTAATCTTGCCCACTAAAAAGCCCTCTCTTAATTAGAATGGAGAAATGATTTTGTATTGATTAAGCTTTGAAGTGAAGAAGAACAATGGAAATAAAAATGGAACCAAAGTCTCCATTTCAGCACATTTAGCTGATAAATATGCCCCATATGTAATGATAAATATGTCTAGAAATACACCCTTCTGCGCCACAGACATGCTGGTGTGAAAACCAGAGTGAAAAAATGCTTGTTTAGTACACTGGCTGCTTCCCTCTCCCGATGTTTTCTGTTGTGGTGCCAGGTGAATTATACATGCTTCATCTCCAGCTGTCATCTGTCTTTCGTTTAACGCTCAGCGTGGAAGGCGGGGAGCTGTTCGAGAGGATAGTGGATGACAGCTGCCGCCTGACAGAGGTGGACACCATGCTCTTTGTCAAGCAGATCTGCGAGGGGATTCACTATATGCACCAGATGTACGTCCTGCACCTGGACTTGAAGGTAATGCGGTCTGTTCTCCTGGACCGGATGTCCCGATACACGAGACACAGGAACATAAGAAGGCATGCCAACAGGAAGTGGCCATCCTAACCCGGCCTTTAGTTAGTAGATCATTGAGCTGAGGATCTTAGCCATCCTTAGGTTGGTACATTCGCCCACTACTTTTTGTGTAAAGACTCTTGTTCTAGGTTCAATCCATTTATAGAATGGATAAATCATCCTCACCTCCTTCTATAGGTTAGGAAGATTTGTAAGCTATTGATCAATGAAGCCAGTAATTAGTACAACTAAGAGGATTCAGATTTGTATTCTATAGGATCACCTTATTACTTGATTGGAAAAATCTGCCTTGTTGATAGCAATTAAATTATCTTTAGACATTCATGATTTAATGGTTACCTGGGTTACAAAATCCTGCATTACAGTTGAGCTTTTCAGAGCAACGGATAGTACTGCAAATCTTCCCGAATGAAGTCCAGCCTATTTTTTCTTTATCCTCTATTATGTCAAAGGGATGAAAGCACGTTAGTTTGGAATGGAGCAGTGTGTCAGGTTGAGATTAAGAAATGTTTCTTCACTCCACTGCAGCCCGAGAACATCCTGTGTGTGAACAAGACTGGACACCAGGTGAAAATCATTGATTTTGGACTGGCGAGAAGGTACGCTTTTATTCCCAGCTGTTCTTCCCTTTTAAAAATAATCTTTCCGAGATTCCCTCCCATTCGTGAGTTTAAAAAAAGCCTACTGAACAACTTGTATTGGCGTGTAACTGGTACTGTAGCCCAGGCCACTGCATTTAGAATCATTAAAAAGGAGACTCATGCTGTTAGATATTAATGCTGTCAGAGGACGGAACAGTTTATAGCTCACAGCCCTGTGGGGTACTGAGTAGGGTCTGCAGTTACAGAAATTTCACACACCAGGGAACTCAAAATAATTATGCTGTTCTGCTTTCTTAAACTGTTTGCACGGATGTTTTAGAATCCAGTGGGCCCTGCTGTGTTTAACCATTTTTCAACCTGTCTGAACAGTTGTGCTATAACATTCAGACCTCTCAATATTGTGTTTAAACATGTCCCATACGACATGTCCCATATGACATAATTCAATTAATTTTGGTCTCCACCGAACAATATTGCATTTATGTTTGGTGTGGTTGATAATATGTCAGACTACTCCACCTGGTGGACAATATCTACATCAGAACACACTGGAGTTAGTGAGGTACAGTAAATCTGTATTTAACTGATAACAATTTACGTCTCCAACAGTTGTACACGTTTTTATTGTTCTGGTCTGGGACACAGTATTCACTCGCCATGCTGCAGGGGGAGCAATGTCTTCTGGTTTTCTTAATGACTTGATTTGTATTCACTGTTCACTCAGTTGGTGACTCGAGCTCATTATCTATTCCTCACTGCCTTAGCAGCTTCTGTTACTCCTGGTGAATTCCCCAGGGATTCACTGCAAAGGACAGATGATTGAAAAAATGAGAAGTAAAAATACTGATATGAAAAAAAAGCCCAAAATATAAATAATCTATTTAAAAATAGAAAGAAATAAAACCAGTACTTAGACAGTAGATAAAAAGAAAATTCCCTCTTCTCTAATCTGCATTTTTGGGGGTCTCACAAATTATTTCTTGTATTTCCATAATATTCCTTTTGATTATTTCTCGTTTAACTTGGATTTTTCCCTCACATTCCAGTGGTTCAGTACTCATTCTCCACTTGCTGGAAATCCTCCTGTTTCACTGGAACCAAAATCCCATTTCCCAGTTCCACTGTGGTGAGGTTAGCCAGAATCTAATAATGGACAAAACAATTCTTCAGGGACCAAATTCTTTAAAGAATGAATCCATCTTAGAGAAGAGATATCACATGCTGAAAAGCAACATAATGCCTCCTTACAGAAGGAAATCTGTTAAAAGACACGCTGTCAAACAGTTGTCTAAATGGGAGGACAACTCAAGGTTACACACAATTCTACGCGTTATTTGTTAAGTTGCACATATGGAGATGAGATATTTCTGTAATCAGTTACATTAATTCCATTCCAACTTTTCTCAAAAAAGTAATTAAATTAAGAATATTCTGGGGAAGAAAAGTAAGGACAAGGGCTAGAGATTCACCAAGGTTTCAGTCACTGTGCCCAGACTTTTCCTGAAACCACAACCATGTAGAAAATATGTTATTTTCCAGCATGTCCCATAACCTGTGACAGCCACCGATTGCTTTAAGGTAATTATGAAACAAATGAGAATATTAGAAGTTCTCTATAAGAAAACGTATCGCCTTTTTGTAATCCTGGCTCCACCACACAGACTCTTGATGCCATAGGTTTTTTTTTCTGATGTGCGGAAGTTGTGAGAACACTTATCTTTCATCTCCTTGCAGGTTCAGACCCAGGGAGAAGCTGAGGGTGTCCTTTGGGACGCCTGAGTTCCTGGCCCCCGAAATTGTCAACTTTGATTTCGTGTCCTTCCCAACTGACATGTGGACACTGGGTGTGATTTCGTACATGCTGTGAGTACCACTGCGAGGAACCCTGGAGCGCAGAAATGAAGAAGACCAAGTGAGGAAAAGCCCACTTAATTTAATAACTTCCGAACTCTTTAATCAGAGCTGTTGCTAGTAGTTCCCAATTTTAAGTAGTGCGGTATAGGCAGCCATATAAAACTGATTGCTAGTGGGCTTTAGACAAGTAAAGATGATTTGTTTCACCAAATCTTGCTGTGCTGTCCAGCCCTGGTTCTCTAGGGTCAGTGTGTCCACGTGGTGTCCAGCCCTGGTTCTCTAGGGTCAGTGTGTCCACAGGGTGTCCAGCACTGGTTCTCTAGGGTCAGTGTGTCCACAGGGTGTCCAGTCCTGGAGGACCAGTGTGTCTGCACTGTGGTTTTCTAGGTTTCTTTAAAGCAGGAGCACCTGAAGAGCTTAGGTTGATTAGGCTCATTACAGTGTTGAAATGGAAGCCCACAGAGCCATTTGAGACCTGAACTGGACAGCCCTGGTTTAAAAGCTGTTGCTGCCTGGAATTGCCGATTTTCCTAAACATGACAAATTGTAACGTCAACTGCAGTCTAGAGGCAATGTATTGTAAGGCGTATAGAAAGGAGAAGAGGTGCTATCAGTCTATTCACTACAGAACATGGTGCACAGTGGCCTTGGAATAGCTTTCTGTTTGGAAATGCTCTGTGCTGGCTTTTGTTAAGCACTATGCACCCACTATGCATCTTTAATGCAATTCTCTTGACCATGAGATGCTTTCCAGCTCTAAGAATACCACATGATCGATAAAACAAAAGAATGATCTATTTGTCTAAATCCAGACATGCCCTCCTCCTTGTTTCTGTGCTTCAATTACTGTGTTTGGCACTGTTGCGGCAGGCTGAGTGGCCTGTCTCCGTTCCTGGGCGACGACGACAGCCAGACTCTGAACAACGTGCTGGCGGCGAACTGGTACTTCGACGAGGAGGCGTTTGAGCACGTGTCCCACGAGGCCAAAGACTTCATCTCCAACCTGCTCATCCGGGAGAAGAGGTGAGGCCCGGAGACACGCCTCTCCAGGGGTTTCCTTGTCGCGGATGGGAGGAAATGTGCAGCCTCGTTTTGTGCAAAACTTTACACACCAGGGAATAACAAAGCAGAGTAAGTGCTGTACTCATACCAACAGCACACAGCTTGGGCATGTCTGTAGTACTCCACATTATCACGAGCATCTGTTATACACAGGCTAACACCCTCTTGGCAGGGCCTAGTGGCTGGACTTTCTCTCAAGAACAGTAGGCTCAGAGGAAGAGATAGTTGGGTACTTTGGCAGAGCAGTAGAGACCAGACACTGTTATTGTGTTTAAAGGAAGTTATTTAAAGACTTACTAACTCAACAGGCTGTAAACTGCAATGTCATGTACCCCTTTAATGTTAATTCCTAACAGTCCATATCTGCATGTTCACTACCTAGAGCTGCCCCAAGTACGGTGACTCATTAAGCACAAACATTTCCAAGTGTTGTACAGAGATGCAGATCAGGCACCGTCTTTTATGTAGCAAACCCTTTAAATACGATCTGTAACAGGTAAATACTAACACATTCAGAAAAGCAGTGCTTGCAAGCATTAGGTTGATAAATCAGCAAATATTGATTAAACTAGAATTTCCGTGTGTGAATGCACTCAAGAGGACAAAGTGTTTTTTTAATGGGAAACATCTTTTTATTATCACATACAAGGCCAAGACAAAAGGTTAGAAACTTAACCTTAGACCAATAAAGGGTTAACACTCTTCTTGAATGCTCTATACTGCACAGCACCATTAAAACAAAGTTGATACAAAACGTACAACAAAGTAAAACTTCTTAAGAACACATCATGCCCGCAGTTACTGATCTGCTCCAGCAAAAATAAAGTCCTGGCGTCTTTCTTCGTTTTCACCTGACTTCTCTCTACCTGGAGTTCTGCTTTCACTTGTCGGACGAAACTCTCCTCATGACCCGTGCTGAATAATTGCGTACCTGCAATGTCATTTGCACAAATGGTGGTGTAGTGTTTATGAAGGAGTTGAGAAGGGTGTTGTTAGCTTCATGCAGGTAAAATGTTAACAAAAAGGGAAAATAACTCCAATTGAAGAGAGTTCGATATTACAAAAATAAAACGATGAACAAAAGCAATGCAAATCGAGGCCTTTTTCAACCGCTGTTGAAAACCTGACAGAAAACCTGTATGTAGGCACTGTCTGGAGTTCAACAGGTGAATAAAATGCAATTTATCGATAACCTACAGTATATACTTGATATTCACTATGTAGACCTACACCTACAAAATACTACATGGGTTTAAAATTCAGAAATGAACCAAAAAAAACAGTCCCATAAGGTAAGATCAATTGCCTTATCAATTGTATGCCTTATCTGATTTTATACAGTATTTGCACGGGACATGAAATAAAGAGGTTTTATATTTATGCTAAAGGCACAGGTACAATTTGTATGTCATAGATTTTTCATAGCATTTTAAGGCTGGAAAACGTTATTCATGATACAACGGGCATTCGGCAGTAACGGACACCCCTATTTGTCCGTTAAATCGAGGGTTTACTGTACAACACAACACAAATATATATGCAAAGGAACAAGTAATAGGTTTATTCCATGCTGAAAAAAAGAAGAAAGAGAACACAACGTTTCAGCGTTTGACACCTGAAGAAGGCTCCACGGCCGAAACGTTGTGTTCTCTTTCTTCTTTTTTCCAGCATGGAATAAACCTATTACTTGTTCCTTTGCAGCCTACGCATGCTGACGCAGCTACCCACCTGAACAAATATATATACCTAACTCTCACGTGACTGATAAAGACCAAGAACCACCTATTAATACAGTTTCATACAACTAAATAAAAATATTTTACATAACAGACTAACCAAAATGGTAGCAATTCATCCTGATCTACCACAGACGGATCCTCTGATGAATTAAGAATTGGAATCTCCCTTGGACCCATTCTGATAACCCATTTTGAGGAAACAAGAATTAAAAGAGGAAAGGTTGTTAATCTAGTTTCTCATCTGGACCTCCAGACATCCTGTCCAATATTCCTCTTTTAAGTAACATTGGGTCAATAACACGGCACCACTCGGAGGTGTTGTTAATCGATATCTGACGATTTGAGCACATTAAAACTCAATTTTTGTCATTAAAATGTTTTCGAACAGGACACTCAGGACCTTCCCACAAATGAATGTGACGCGTAGCACCGAAGATTCTGTCTTTTTAAAAGTAAGATTTGGCCAGAGAGGGATGTCACAAACCCCCATGCTCAATTACTAGGAGGAGAAGCGCCAACAGATACTAGACATTCATGGGACTCCTGTTCACATTCCTCAAAAACGAATGCTTAAATAAAAAACAGTGACTGATCAGAGATTCTCTTTTTGCACTCTAATGAGTTGCTCCCGTAGATTTCACCCTCTTGTACACACACAACGTTTAAATTATAAACCTAGTTAATAATAATAATAACATCACTTTATTAGCCCTATACAATTTCTTGCATTAGGAATTTGTCTTTTTCACATACCCCAGCTTGCTCTCCATGAGATACACCAACAGGGAGAGAGAAGCCTGGGTCAGAGCACAGGGTCAGCCATTGTACAGCACCCCTGGAGCAGTTGGGGTTAAGGGCCTTGCTCAGGGGCCCAAGGGAGTAGGATTCCTGTGCCAGCTGCAGGATTTGAACCAGCAACCTTCCAGTCACAGGCGCAGATCCTTAGCCACAGAGCCACCACTCCGCCTCTGTTTTGGCTCAGTACCGTATGTGTAACACAACCTCCCACGCTGCTCAGTCAGTGTGTTTCTGTATCCTTTCTGCTAGTGGCAGGAGGGAGATTCCATATGATTGTATTGGTACTGATTTCTTCTTTTACAAAAGCACCTGGAAAACCCTTCAAGTCCTGAGAGAAACTGAGACTTTTCGCCTTTTTTCCCCCAATGCCCTTTGAGCTCTTAATAATTTAATTAAGTTACTAATGGTAGTTGTCAGAATTACCACCGTTTTCAGATCTTTGGATGCTTAGGTATTTGAGTTTAGCTAATAAAACTCTGAGCTGGTTTCCCAGGGCCTGGAGTACAGTAAGTACGTACGTTTGATGTTCCCCAACAGCGGGCGTCTCAGTGCAGCCCAGTGCCTGAAACATCCCTGGCTGGACAACATCGCAGAGAAGGCCAAACACAGCCACATCTGTCTGCATTCCCAGGTCCTGCTCAAGAAGTACATGGCTAGGAGGATGTGGAAGGTGAGTCAACCGCCTTTTAACGAGCTCCTTCACACAAATCACACTCAGCGAATGTGCGAATGTCCAACAAGCCATGGGGGTTATGTTGCTTATCTCATGGGTGAATTCACAATCAAATTCCAATGAACAGTTTTGCATCCATCCTTCGTTTTTAGTAACTGTGTTATTCTTAGAGGTTTGCAATGAGCTGGATCCCGCCAAGGAGGTGGGCACTAGGCATAAGACTGGTCTGTAGAACAGACATCTTAGGACTGTGGGAGGGAAAAGTAGTGGCAGGAGAAAGCTCATGGGAAATGAGGCAGAACATGCAAACTCCACATAGATGATTCTCCAGTTCATATCCAGGACCCAAATGCCATGAGGCAGCAGTGCTAACAACCATGCTACTGTGCTGCCCAACAGTGTTAAATGTATTACAATACTCATTAACCCCAGGGTACTATAAGGTATTTGTCATATATTTAAATTTTCATCTTTATCAGTAATGGGTTTTCATGTTTATTAAATATTTGCTTTATTCTGTTGCTTTCTCATCCTTCTCCTGGCTCACTGGTGCCAAGCAGAAAAACTACATTGCTGTTGCTGCTGCTAACAGATTCAAGAAAATCGGCAGCTCGGGGTCTCTGACCACAATGGGGATCTGAGGAGCTTCACAGGAGCAGCAGAGCCCAGACAGCTGACTGAGGAGCAGGGCCCCTCTGCTTGCCTCAGCACCCGAGCCTGTGGGTGTTGTATGCAGCTGTATATAGGCCCAGGCCCAGGTGTGAGCAAAGGAATGTCTCATGTATTGTTAACTGGTACCCAGGTCAGAAGTGGAGGACATAAATGAAAGCAACGAGCTGCACCAGAGATGAAGAGGTTCTACTTAATGGCAGGATTCCCCCTGAGTGTTTTTTCGAACTCTGTTTTTTGTCTAATTTTTATAACGATTGTAAGGCAAGTCTAAATGGTGTCGTTTACTGTCAGTGGCGTCGATGCGTTTACTGCGTTCTCAGACTCCTCGTGTGTCTGAGTAGTTTGCTAAAGAAAACCATACAGTGCAGCTCGTTCCATCTACTGTACAATCACTCACGTCGTAAGTTTGAGTGGTTAGTCTATTTTTTTTGTCACGGGCTATTCAGTGCTTGTCCCTGCATGGTCAGCAGAAATTGTACGTACCGTATATGGAGCAAATCCCTGAAAGCTCCATTTCCAGAATGCATTCACTAAAGCGGTGCACATGGTGTGGAGTCTTAAAGTCAACCAGAGCTTTTTGATTTCTGCTTCACGCTTGGCTTAAAATAGCAAGCAAGGGCCCGTGTGAAAAAAGGAATATTTCTTCTGTAGCCTTAGGTGGGTGTCTGAGAAAACCTGAGAAAGCACAAGGTGTAACAGGTGACATGGTATAAAAGGAGACAGAGCAGATAGTGTGTAGGTTTGCTTGCAAAAATGCCTCTCATCATTCCCATACTCAGAGTGTACCTCTCAGTTTGGGGTGAATATATACAGAGCATACGGGTCAGAGTCATTTTGTGATTTGTTTCACAACTGCTAATGCCTTACCTTCTAAAATGGTAAGTTGAGAAATGATGAGATGAGAAATATAAACGTTCCAGTCAAAATCCGTGAAACTGCCCCTGTTTTTCATCTATCACATAAAACAGTAGCTGCTCTACTTATCCCTGATTATTTTATATATCCAATTGTTTTGTGATTACCTCTCTCACAGGTTTGGGCTTTTCTCTTATCTCAACAAGAAAACCGTTAAAAGGCATCAGCAAATTTGAGCTTTTTGGTCATTGGCCAGTTTTTGTTTGTGCTGTTTTGTTTTGTATAGGTGTTTCTTAGCTGTTGTCTTATTAAACATTTGAAAACTTCTCAATAAAATAAAAACCAGTTGCTGCTCGACTGAGGCAGCATGCTTCAAAGGGCGGAGAGGAATGAGCACGGGGCTGCCGAGCTCTGCCATAGAGTTTGCTATTCCAGAAATGAAGCAGCACGTCTCACACTCGTGAGCCCCCCCCCGCCCTGGCACACAGCAACACACATGAATGAAGAGTCTTGCAGAGGTCTGACAAAAGCAAAAGCAGAGCAGTATATGGAAACGGTGCCGTTTGCTATACTGCGCTCCCCTGCCTCAAAGCAGACGTCAGCTCCATGCAAAGGAATTGCTACCTACACACCAAACAAATAGCTCCGCTCTCACATGGGCACATGAGGATGAATAAAATGAGCAATGTGTTCAGAGCTCCAAATGAAGATCAACATGAGACAGGTGAGAAGGTAAGCTAGCAAACCAGTGGGATCATTTCATTTCAATCCCTTGCATTCCTCTTCCAGCAGTCATTCTCTCCTTGCTGCTATGAAAATAAAACGCTCCGTCTCTACGCTGCTGATTTCTGAGCTCGAAGCGCTCCCGGTCCCCAGGTGTCTGTCATTTCTGCTCCATCTGCTCTGTGTCTCGTTGTGGTTGATTAGCTGCCCTTCAGCGTCGTCTCTGGTGCGCTGGCGAAGGGGGAACACCTGCTCCTGTCAGCCTTACCTGAGCAGGTGATGAATAGACAGGTGTTGGCTCGTGCAGCAGACCCGGGTCAGAAAATGGGCGACGGAGTATCGGCAGCGCAGCCCCGTCAGGCCGCCATGCCGGGAGAACGGGGGAGGTGAATCCTGCACGTGGCCAGCAGCATGGTCCGTCTCACCTCCTTGTTTCGGAGCCCGTAGATGAGGGGGTTGACACAGGGCGGCACAAACAGGAGCAGCAGGAGCGCGATGTGCAGCAGGCCGGCGTTGCCCTGCTGGCGCAGCGGCTGGCTGTTCAGCTCCCAGAAGACATCGGTCACCACCTTCAGCCAGTAGGGCACCAGCTGGAGGAAGAACATGCTGATGTAGAAGAGCACGGTCCTGCGCGCCCGGCTGTTGGTCTGGTTGAAGGGCTCCACGGCGTTCTTGGCCTCACCGTAGATCCTGAAGTAGGAGAAGGCGCAGGTCAGGATGCACACCAGGAAGGAGGCCATCCCGCAGGCCTTCCTGAAGGCGGCGGCCGCCAGCGGGAAGTTCATGTGCTTCTCCACGATGTCCGGCTCGCAGAGGAGGCCGGTGGTGGGCATCCCGAAAGAGCCGTGCCCCGTGAGGAGAAGGATCAAGTAAACGGCGGACATGGATGCCGACACCCCCCACGCCAGGGCAATGCCGAGCTTCAGGCGGCGGGGCGTGAGGATGTTGATGTACTGGATGGCGTGACAGATGTACAGATACCTTTCTAGCGCCATCAGGGTGAGTGTGTAGATAGCACAGAAGACGCACATGGTCCCGATGGAGTACTGCGCCAGGCACCAGATCCCAAAACTGAGCGTCTGCCTGCTGATCAGGCAGTGGAGGATGGTGGGCACGAAGGTGGTGGTCAGCAGCAGATCGTTGAGCGCCAGGTTCTTCAGCAAGATAAACCTGGGCTGCCAGGAGAGCTCCTCGGACCTGAAGATCCCGTAAAACATGTAGCCATTGACCACCCAGGACAGGCAGGACAGCACTGCGAACAGAGTGATGAGAGAATTCACAGTGCCCTCCCCGGGCAAAAGGGACCTGAAGAAGCAGTGCGACGGATCCCAGCTGGAGCTGTTCTCTTCCGGGCTGTCTGCATTAAAACACACGTTGCCACTGGGTAGGTAATTATAATCCATGGCCATTGTCAGTGGGATATAGCATTCAATTATCCTTCTCTCTTCAATGAAGGAATTTTGATTCTCAGAATGTAATAATGAAAGACATCTTTGCATTTTACGCAATGCAGTAATGCAAGGTCCTTTGAGTGCTGATCACCTGCAGGGCTATTGGGCTATTGATGAACACTCCTTTTCTGTTTCAGTCTTCAACAGCCCTATATGCCTGCCTCCCCCACGCAGACTGCTTTCCACTGAATGCCCTACACTGAGCTTGCTCTTGCTTTGATCTGGCCTGCAGTGGTATCTGAGCGCGCTTTCCGAGACTGAAGCACTGCCTCCACTCTCATTGTGAGAGCAGCGAATCAGCAACAGGGTCTTGGGAACAGGCTGCGGACCTCTGGAAGTGGGCTCCCAATGCAAGATCACTGCCCCTGCAGAGGCACAGTTTAAAATCAGAGCTGCAATAGAGTTCAGTTGATTTTCTTTGAAGGTCTTTCAGCACGGGGGGGATCTACATGGCTACAAGATCCCAAGAGCATAAGAGCGCAGTGTTTTATAAATAAAATTGAATAATCCATCAGTAACGGCTCTATCTTTGAGGAGCCAGAGTCTTAATCCCAGCAGGCACAGCATGGGAGCCCAGTCTATTGCAGGGAGCAAACACAACCACAGGGGGCGATACACACATACCACATAACCTGGGCAGTGCTGTACGTCTCTGGAAGGTGAGAAGAAACCAGAACACCTGGGGGAAAGCTGAGATAGGGACAAGAGGAACATGCAAACTCCACACAGAACGTATCCGAGTCTGGAATTGAACCTATTGTAAGAACCAAAGTGCCCTGAGGCTGCAGTATTAACCATCAAGCCATCCATGAGATCAATTATTGATCCCCATCGGTTTTACGCCCTGCATTAGATCATTATCTGTGTCACAACAACGCCACAAGCAGAAGCAGTGAAATTAAACTTCAGAAATACTGTATCTTGAAGACTTGAAACGCAAACATACCCTTTAATATACCGTATAAAAATAAATCTCAGATTCGAATGATCTCTCCTTTGACGGTTTATGTGCCTTAGACGGTGACTCAGAGACGGCAACCCAGAGAAAGTAAATGAAAAGGTTTGCGTATGAGCAATACTTTATTTGCGCCAAACATGTTGGAATTAATATCATCACGAATTGAAATGAGGTACACTAGATCGGTACATTTCTATGGAAAGGACTCTATAAAAACAAGTTTAATTATAATACTATATATATATTATTAAACTGCAGTGCCTTTTAAAGCGATTAAAACGACTTACAGATATTGTATTTGAAATATTTATTATTTTATAATGGTGTTGCCTAGAAACACTATAAAACAGTTTTTGAGTTACAGAGAACTGTAGAATTGTTGTAACGTGTGCTTCTTTGGTGTTTAAAATGTTCCTTTCTAAATCTAACATTTGTTACTTTTTGATATTTTCTTTCAATTTATTCCAGTTCCCAGTAGTCCGGTAACCTTTCTGATTACATTTCTATTATACTGTATGTTAAATTATATGTTGCTGATTATGTAGACCGCTGTAGGCTTTGAGCTTCATAACGCTGGTATATGCTTAAGACCGTTTTTCTGCAGTTGGAAATTCACCGGTGTCACCCAGAACTGGCTGGTACTTTACATAACAACAGCACTTGACATCCGGCACCTATAATACAAGTTCAAGCAGCACTGAAAGGAGTGTGAATGGTATTTTTTTTTAACTCTTCTTTAAATATCAGGACAAGTGAAGTCTCTGCATTATGGATCGTCACAGTGGACATCAATCAATTTAATAAAACCTTTCTTTGGGGTGCAGTAGGTTGCAGCTGGGGGTGTAATTACTAATAGCCACTTGCCACTGTGTCCGGACAGATTCCTAGTGCTTTATCGATCTTGCTAAATGCACTTTCAGTTGTTGGTCTTAAAGGACCTCCAAGACGTGAAGACACGACGTGTTTTATCCCATTTGTCTCCATAGAAATTCTACCAGGCAGATTCTACCTGGTCGCCAAGCGCCAAGTTCCAGACGCCGCGCAGCTCTGCCGAGAACAGGACGCGAACCGTCTCTCGTCTGTGACGTCCACTACGTTACGTCATTCTAGGCGCTTTGTAATAAAACGTATTAAGTGATTAATTCATATTTAAAATGAAATAACGGCGTGAATTATAAACGAAATATCGGGTATGATGCGCAGCTGCAATGAATTATGACGGGGAAGAAAGAAAACCGAACAGAATTTGAAATTTTAAAGGTGTCAAAGGTGTCGTTGGGACAAAGTAATTCGTTGCAGCAGATTTTTAAAATGTTTTTTTTTGTTTAAAGCAACGCTCTTTTTTCAGTTAAAGGTGATACCATGATTGAGGTGTCTGTAAATAAGCGATAATAAATTCAGGTTTTTATGAACCCGTTTTTTTATTCAATTTTACAAAAACCGATCAAAATCATAGCACGCAGAAAGAGAACAGAACATTTTAACAAACGGTATACCGTGCAAATCCTTCGTACGGTTGTTCAGATTCCTCCTTCGATGTAATTGAAAAAATCTTCAAAACAATTAAATCATGCATGTATCTTATGTATTAATCTCACATAATGATGACCCAATGTTTTCAAGATCCTGAAGATTACTTAAACTGCTATTTTATTTTCATTTTATGCGTGTGCGTTTCTTGTTTGTTAATGGTTCATGTTGTGTTAAATGTATTGTGTACTAGGTTATGTCTCTTGCCTGTCTGCAAAGCAGATTTCCCACCTGGGTCAATAAAGCCGGGTAAGTAAGTAAACCCTGACAAGAATCAAAATGAAAACAAATGCTCCTCGGCGTGCTATGCTGTAGGTGGCGCTATTTGCAGGGATCCTGTGGCAAGACTTCGTTTGGTTATGATCACAGGACTGCTGCTCTGCAGCTTGGACTTCTTCATATTAAGTGCAAGAGCTGCAGAATAATGCAGTTCAGACATTGGGGCGGTTGTAGACTGGAGTACTGGTATCCTGCATATTCTTTAAAAAGTCACAATTTATTTATTGGTCTTCCAAGAGAGAACACAGCTTTCTGTATCCAGGAGCCTAGCTCAAATCAAGTTGGACACACTTGGCTCAATCAGTTGGGTCAGACTCATTTGAGTTGCCTGAGGGTAATATTCAAGTCTGCCTTCACTGGCCAGGGTTCTGGTAACTATTGGGTTGCAGGTTCCAATCCCAGGCGAGACACAGCTGTTCTGCCCAGAACCTCCTCAGTGGCTTCAGTAAAATTCCCTGCTGAATAAATGAATGCAAATGCCATTTATTTTAGATTAAAGCATCACCACGTTAAATGAGTCATATTATTATTATTATTATTATTAAACATATAGAGTACACTGGCGGGACATTTGAAAGTATATTCTAGTGCATTCTGCACGAAAACACCACCGGGAGCGCTGTGCACGGTACGTTTCTGCACGTTGACAGAGCAGGAGGACGGAAGGTGTTTTTGTGGGTCTCCAGTGAAATTCTACGATCTGCCCCAGGTCCTCATCCAGCCCCTTTAAGAGCAAGAGAGTTCAAGCTGGTCTTGACGGCAGCCACAAGAACTCCTCCTCCTCTGGTTTATAAATACCCGCCTGACCCAGGTAGAGGGGCATGTGGCATTTGGCAGAGAGCAGGGCTCCGCCATGGACCAGCTTTCTCCTTATTTAGTTGGGAACGTCTTGAAGGACAGCCTCCTGGGCTCAGCTGTCTTTCTGGGGAATGTCTAAGAATAAAAGTGGGCCGGGGAGAGAGGAGAGAGAGAGAGCGACTGGACACCTGGGGCTGTCCGTCAGCCGGACAGGGGGGAGGCCGGGTCACCAGCAGTCGCCCCCCGGCCTGTCCACGGCCTCACACACGCTGGGCGGGACACAGACAGGTGTGAGAAAACGCAGCTAACACACAACAGCAGCAGGCTGACACTTCCCACACCGAACCTCCGCCACAGAGGAAGTGGAGGGTAGTGGTGTCCACACATTTACGCACAGGCTTGTCTAGACAAGTATAACGGGTTTATTCTACAAAATGAATTCGATGTTTCTTTCCTGCAGAAGGACATTTGCTTTCTTTTTTGTCCGTCTTACCACCCAGACGAGTGGCTGAATGATCTTTGGGTTTGGCCCTTTCTTCTGCGATTTGAATTTTCATGGTGCGGAATTCTATTTTATTCCTAATTGTCCGTTAGGGACTCAGGAAATGTCGCAAATAAGGAGCATACTGCTGCTAAACACAAAAACAAAGGTCCTAAAACATTGCTTCTTATTTAGGAGGTCTGTGTTAAGTCAACCAACAGCCAGCCCTTGTGATTTTCCGGTTGATATCCTAGTGATTCTCTGCATTTGTCTTATGAACTGACATTTCAGATCTCATCATATGGAAGGGTGATATAAGCTCTCACCTGGGGTCTGATCAAAATAGCTTAATGGTTTTCGCAAAACATCAAACATGAAACCTGTGCTGCCTGGGTAGTAGGTCTGGGCAAACATGGCAAAGATGTCCGAACTGTACAGACATTGACAAGTGATGGACACAGAATCACCTGAAGCCACACACACCTTTGCAACACCAACATTTACTCCTCCTCATTCACACCCTGTAATATCTTCAGAGCTCCTGGGAAAAAGTTGAACATGCGCTGAATGTCTTCTCTGAAGCAGGATAAATGATTAGGGAATACAAATTATAAACTGCACTCTAGTCAATTTAAGTTCATGTTCTTTTGTATGGTACAGGACACGTGGCAAATATTTGCAGGTCTGGGCTGTACAGCAAATGCATCAATTTACCATTGTTCACAAAACGAAGAGATTTTCTGTTTGCCTTTCATCACAGAACATCTCTCCCGCTGGCTGGGCTTGGGGTTCATCATTCAGAGGGTGAAGCCCAGCCAAGAATGTGGTGTGAACAGCCTCCTGTTTAGAAAATAAGATAATGTTACTTATGTTGTCGCCAAAAGACTTTCTTGAACTGGGTATCCTTCCACA